TTAAAGCTTCTGCCCAACCCGTAGCAAAATTGACACGATTTTCTCAAAAAGTTCAAAACACTTTTACTAGTTTCTAAGTTGTTTTAGCAATTTTTTGAGTAGCCGTACTTCAACAGATAAATTACCACAATATGCAGCAAAATTATGCGCACTCACACACACTGGCTCACCGTCATTTCGTCGACTAACCCTACTGAGTCCTGACGGTCGACAGTCGACCGTCAAGAGGCCGACTTACCAAGAAAATATGGGAAAAGATTAGAGAATATAAGAAAATTTAAGAAAGTGTAAGAAAACATAGGAATGCATAACAAACTTAAAAGAACTGGGACGGTTCATCAGCCTTTAGCTAAACACCAGCCCGACGTCGTGTCTGCTCGACGAATTTTCTTCGACGAAATGGAGCGCACACATACGCAAATTCCATATTTAAATTTTTACCATTCCCACTCTCCTGTAAACTAATAATTCCGAAATAAATAAGCTGTATGACGCTGTACTACTGGAAAGTATCAAAGCTTATTAAAACTGCAATAGTAGTTTTTTGCACTGTATACATAGAGCAATTACGTGTATATCATGTATGTACATGGCGATATCAATTTTTGCACTGTAAGCATAACTTATACCTGCTTCGGCTAAATTGTGTGTTATTAGACCACTCCTTTCTGCTGTTGGGTAACTTTAATGGGTTATTCACGTTAACATAGATTAAAAGCAAAATTACGCAGTTCATCATTTCAACACGTAATACACTTCGTCCAGTCTCTTACCGATAGTCTCTCTTCTGCTGTTTGATAACAATACGAAAAGTCAGACATCTTTCTGTGTTGGCTGGTATACGGCCAGTGCAGCGCACCATGGTGCATAAGTTATGATTCATAGAGATAAGGACGGGTATGTTAGAAAACCGAGCTGTGCAGCGCGGTATCTTGAATACGTGCGGTATAGTTGTTTTGACCATTCGGAGCGCAGATAAGCTCCGGATCGATGATGACACACGTTACCCGTCGTTATCTACTGCGCATTATGCACAGAAAACCAACTGGCGTTGGAAAGATACAGGAATGCCTGAGTCTTCGCAATGATGTATTGCGATACCAATACTGCATGCTTTCAACTGTAGATAGAAACACGACATAATATTAAAACAACAATTAATGGTTTGGTACTGGTGGTCAAACTTTTATAGTCCTTTAATTCAAAACGATGTTCATAATGCTAAGCAGTATAAGTTGATTAACATACCCAGTAACACTCTACCGCAGGCCTGTGTTATGGACGACAAACATTTTGGACTGGGAAGGAAAATATAGTGCTGTAGTGAGTGTAATTGCTTGTAAACATTGCGAGAACATGTCTGCAGAGAAAAAGACAGATAAGTGAAGACCTTGTTTTTGAAAGTGTCAACTACAGACTACGACCAAGAGCCAGCAAGGTGGTAAAACACTAAACAGTGTCACGTTTTAATTTTTAATCTAGCGTACTCAGTACCGGCTCGTCCCATCTGTTCGGTATACTGGCAAGTGGCACGTGAACTTTGCTGTTATTCCAAAAAAACCGGCGCCTTGTATATGCGCACATTTTTATATTCACAGGGTAGCTCCACAAACAGCTAACCTTATCTTGTTGTTTTGCTTACTGATTATTTTGCCCGTTGTATATACTGAAGTAGTGGGGAAAATCATGTGAACCAGCAGCAGCAGACGAACCCAAGCGGTACGTGTGAATTATATTATCCTGCTTTGCGGTGTGCGACTGTGAAACACAGGTGCGATCAACGTTGAAAAGTTTACATGACTGATTGTGATTCTTATTCTGATTTGTGGCGCTATTTTTAGAGTGTCTTACATTACCGGCACCTGCCGTTACTGTCACGTTGGTGAAATGTGGACTCTTTTAAATTGGCTAGAAATCATAGGATCATAGTGACGGGCGACGTAAAAATAAATTTGTATTAGTCTGTGTCTGTGTAAGTGGTATTAAGGTATTCGACTACGATGGCAATTTGGGTAAGTTGTTAGTAGTTAAATTGTTGTTCCACCTCTTGTCGCTTTAGTTACCTAGTATTATTGACATTCGGCAGATTTTTACCTTAAAGCTTCTAATAAGTCTGAACACACTACACTACACTGTGTACTTTTAGTATGCGTATTACACCGTAATTTTAAAATGGTTCAAAGGTTAATTTAAAAGGTACTGTTACCGATAAATTTGGTACAGATATGCTTGCAAAATCGGACCGCGAGCGTGATAGTACTTGTAGTCTTGTACATTGTAAGCCGCAAGTTGACTACAAAGACTACGCTAATTAGTTATCAGCGTCATTCGTGTACTGTATCTGTAATTTTGATTTAGTACTGCACAGTGTTAATTCAGATTAACAGTAAGCAATTTTGAAGTCTAAACGTGGGAACACAGTTAAACACATAAATAAGTAACACGCACACCACAACAATATGGCGTTCTGACATGAGCAGCGAGAGTTGGGTGCTTATATCGCACGTATACCTGTACTTTCAGAGTTTGCAACCGAATACTACAAATAATTGCAAAGTACGCCGCGATAGGTTACTTGGCTTACTTCGAAGTTTGGAGCCACAAACAACTTAATTTTTGCAGCTATGGTCACAGCGGCGCCGGTAAAAATAATGGAATATACATAATACCCTGTAAGCATGGTTTCTTAGGTTATGACATAGGGAAGAACCGGGTCACAGCATCATTAACTCAAGTGGCGCGTCTGACACATAGCCTATCGTGCTAGCATTGCACCACATAGCCTATCGTGCTAGCATTGCACCACATAGCCTATCGTGCTAGCATTGCACTCAATACTCTACCGCACTTACGTAATTACCGGTTTAAACGCCACGTTAAAATGCCTTTGTTCCAGTTTTATTAAATCCGGCATTCTCTATTCCAGTTCTGTACCTTCACGATGTGTTGCGGATGTATTTTTTAATTTTAACGCGACTTTCATTCGTTTTATTGCGGTGATTCGCGCGAACAGCAGAATGCAAAGTTGACCTTTCTAAATTTCATTAAATACCGTCGCACTTATGCACTTCGTGCACGGCACATGCTGTTAACACTTTTCAAGAAAAGCTGACTGTGTTCTGGCAAGAGTTTCAAGGATACCGTATACAATTCACCAAACACTCTCAGCCCTCGTATACGTGGTGCCACATTTTATGCGGCATCTGCCACCTTTTATCGTTTGCCAGTTGCCAGAGTCTCCAGGTTTTATCGCTTGCCATGCCGTTGGCAGTGCCACTGGCAAGTGCCACTGCCACGTTTTACCCCCTGACCTCCACATACTATGAAAAGCGGACATGCACGGTCGCCGTACTGTCAAAAACAGAAATGCTGGCTGTTCGTATATACTCGGGCCGCGTGTAAAATGTGGTGTCCGCTGGTCACCATCTCTACTTATAAAGTGTCCAGAGGCGCGATAGCCGTATAAAAATCCCGTGCTGCCCACTGGCGTTTCAGAGAATTTATGTTTTATCTCTTTGATAATTCAAGGTAAGCATTTTGCATTCCCATCTTTGCACCATACTTAAACCGTTGTGTTTGTCCATCGGTCACCGCCACCCTATTAAAAGGGTAAAGGCGCAGTGTCCATTTGCACTCGAGGTTTGTGGCTACCGTAAGGTAGCCACAAGCCACTGTAAAATTTTGTAGTGTCACTCACCGTGTGTCCTTCGCATATGGTGTCAGACTTCACCTTTGATCTGCAGTAGTTCTTGAATTACTTTGACCTTTTATACTATAAACAAAATTGTTCATTTATGCCTTATGGTTTAGTTTGTAATTGTACCATGATACTTATTAAAGGTTAATAATAGCTCATTTGGCTGTACACTTTTCACAGTATTCACAATGCAAAAACGTTATTCGTTTTTACGAACCGCAATGCACACGGCTGTCAACTTGCAAAATTGACTTGACAGCACAGTAGTCTGGCAATGCGAAAGTTTCGTTCCACTGGAAATCTCTGCCACTCGTTCATCTTACCATGCGGTACTCGGTAGTATACGCACTGTAAGAGAAATCTTACAATTGTTAGCGTCGCGTCGGTAGCACAGTCTTTGCCCAAATGAACTGAAACAACACCAACACACGTGGATGATGGCTGCCCTGATGAACAACTGTAATTGCCAACTGTGTAAGTTTTCAATGGGTTTTAGTGGTTAAAGGCAACACCCACGCTCCACGGTTAACGGTCACACGTGTTTCTCAGGGCAAGCATTCACCGCGGTTACACATGTTTGTTAGGGCAATAATCAACGAGAGTTGGTTAAAGCAACCACCAGTGGACTAGGTGTTGTGTTCAGGTACATGGCTATGTGTTCAGCTTCACGTTCGGTAAAGACTGCGCTAATAAACTCATGTTATGCGTATTAAATTGCATGTCAAGGCACCCTTGGCAACCGCATAATCACTAAGCACTCCCGCAACAGAATTCGACTTGGAGGAAAAACGCTGTAGCAATGTTCTGCAAATGAACCTAAAGCGTAATATTATCGATTCAGGAGGCGGACAGTTATCTAGGTACAAGCACTACTGATACGGTTTTACCGGCGACTCCGTTACGACTTCACCAGTTAGCGCTGTACAGCCTGTACTTATAATTCGTCGAAATATTGTATGATTCGTATCCCGTTACTAATTTACTTCCGCCAAGCCATGATTAATAATTCACTCCCGTTATACATAAATCGACCGCGTCACGATCGATCAATCAAATCGTTCGCTTCGAAACGTTTTTCTGGTGGCATCTCAACGATCAATCTCCTGCATTTATTCTAAATTATGCTCCAAAGAAAACTGCACTGGAAGCTTTTAGAAAACCGGGAATAGGTGCACGACCCGATCCGGCAGAAAATCGGAATGCCAGTTCGTCAACCGGGCGCGAACGGGATGCATTATACATATGTGTGCAGCTGAACTCGAAGGCTTCGGAAGGTGTGCACTTAGCATGCGACGGTCGCGCGTCCGATCAAGCAGATTACTCAAAGTTCGAAACAAGCCAACACCGCAAATGGTCACCCACCCGCCCGCAAACGGGCATTACTACCGTTAAGATGGCACATAATAGTGAACATATGAAGACAGGTATTAACAATGCAGACTTTGCAGAGCGTATGTATCTATGTCTGCGGTATCGAAAAGAAAACCGGTCGCGCAAGCGTGTTTGCAAAATTCACTAATAACTCATGCATTACGGGGTAAAAATAGAATCTTTGCTCATGGCAGCATAAATCTCTTCCAGTTTTTCCGTAATTTGCTGCGACGAAATGCGACTCTGGCTATTATCACAGAGCGCTTCCTCAATCAAACGAGTGACCCCGGGGTCGGTCGGACGCTTCAAAAGCGGCACGAAGCCATCAGCAATTTTGGTTAGAATTAGTAAGTCAGACGCCAATGTGATTTGCAGTTCTTCTGTGGTTCCTTTGCGCCATAACCATTTCTCAAGTATTCCCGCGCTGTAATCCACCAAGTCAATAATAATACAACCAAGACTCCAGACATCTGTCTTCCGGCCAATTTTCTCGCCGTCCTGCCCGGCAAGAAAGGTCTTGACCATTTCTGGTGACATGTAACGCGCCGTTCCGCGCATATGCGTGATATCTTTTGTGCATGTCCGATTACTCATCATTACAATGCCATCATCCAGGTCTCCAATGAGAAGTTTATGGCCATTAGGCTTTAAGCGCATCAGAATATTGGCTGGCTTAAGATCGCCATGTATAAATTTATTAGAATGGAGATACGCTAAACCTGTTGAAATCTGACGTGCAAAATTAACGACGGTAACTAAGTAAACTTGTTTCGGCGCGGCATCCAAGTTTGCAATCAAATGGGCCAAATCCCCGTCTGTAATATCAATCAATAACTATTAGAGTCGCTAAAAAACACTTTACGATTAAAACAGCCGTGGTTCTAGACTGGGTCACAACAGCCATTTTTTTAAAATTGTCCACCTAGAATCGCACCGGCCGGGCGCCGCAATCCTCGGAACCCCATTCAAGGTGGCCCACACTGCGCTAAACTGTTTTTTGCCTAAAGCAGTATATTCACCTTGAATATAATCCATCACCAATTCTACTGTTGTTCCTCTGTCCGTTTTGAAGAAGCTGATTTTATGGTATCGGATGACATTTGCATGTTTGAGCAGCAACAACTGTTTCCATTTTGCAGTGGATGTGTTCTTCTCCTGTAGCATAGCAAGCATTGATTGCCGCATAAAAATTTCCTTGATAGCCACAATATTCCCAGTTCCAGAAAAATTGCCGCGATCAGTTATCAAGGCTTTGTACACTGTCCCAAAAGCTCCTTTGCCGATTCCATCGGTTCGGGGTTGGTATTCACAACTGCACGAACAGCCAAAGCTTTTATGTGGGTTGGACTCACTCTGATTATCGCAATTCGTTTCCGTATCATAATCGGATTCCGAAATTGGGACGTTATTATTCTGAATTTCCGGTGTGAGTGATATCTGAACACAGAAAACAACTCTAAAATATAGCTATATATATATATGTTAATTTACCAGGGCACTACCAACGTGAATTTAATATTAATTAGCGTTTGCTAACAAAAATAATGTCCCACAAAAACTTTTACCGGTGAACATATCCGCAACATGGGGTGCTTAATAAGCTCTTCGACGGCAGGCCGCTTGTTGGCAACCGCCTGAAAACATAAATCGAGGAAATTCTTCGCCGCATCTAAAAACTGCCGGTCATCTCCGCAGTCATCCCGGTCTAACTCAGGACGGTAGAACGGTTTTTCCCCCTTGGCCAGCGCCTGCTGGACTTCTGCAGGTCTAATCCGAAGAACGAGCTCCCCGTTGGTCTCTTTCCGGTAGAAGCGCGGTGAGTGTCCTTGCAGCATCTCCAGCAGCACACAACCCAACGCCCATATATCGCATGCCAGCCCCACCTGGCCGAAAGTTGCATTAAAGGCTTCGGGTGCCATGTAAGAGATTGTTCCCACTCCGCGGCGCACTTCATCGTCCCCGATTGCAGAAGGGTCTAACTGCACCAGCAGACCAAAACTGGCAATTTTTGGCGTGCCGTCCACCGTGAAAAGAATGCTACTGCCATTCAAATCGCGATGGGCAACGTGCCGTTGATGAAGATAGCGAACGCCGTTCAGGACGGCGGTAAAATCGGCTTGGATGTGTAACTGGCTGTATCGTTGCTGCATTGAGACATGAGTTTGGATTTTCTCCCTCAGTGTTCCCCCTGCAATAATTCATTAACATTTTTAAAACGTTCTTGCAAGTGCAGGATTTTATTAGCAAAATATCTACCTGGGCAATATTCCATAAAAATGCGGATTTCCGGGATGTTCTCGAAATAAGCGATGTCCACAAAGAAATATTTAACAAGATTGTGCTGAGAATTTTTTGTCAGTTCCAGGATGCACTTGAAATCTTGAACATAGCGGTGTAGCTCGGTGTGATTGCTTGTTTTTTCTAGTTCAATACACTTAACGGCATAATGCTGGCCCGAATTGCTGTCTTCCGTGAGAAACACTCCACGGGATCCCCCACTCACGCCTAGCAGAGTGTCCAGCTTATGCTGAAATGGCGGGCGATATTCGGCAATACCAAAGCGGTTAATCATCTCCTCACAAGTCTCGTCATCGTTCTTTTCAGTCTTTTGCACTGTTTTTACGGACATGGTTAAATGAAAACTGCAAACTGCGTCCCACAACCGATACAACTTCTTTACAGATACAATGCCAACGGTAAAGGGATAGTTTTGCAAAGATATACAGTTTGTGACATCTGCAAATTCTGACAACTGCAAAATATGTTATTCAAGCGTAAAAAATTAACTCCTTTTACTCTACTGTGCTAACAGCTATGAAACACCGTTTACTCTTGACATGAATGTCACGTCAATAAAATGTTCTTTACTGCCTGCAGCAATGCTTGAACACGCTCGCACATGATATTATGGTGCAAAGAAAGATGAAACGATTAGCACAGTTGCAGCCGTACTTTTACCCCGGAATGTCCTTTGATGACTAACGGTATATTGTCAAGTTCTGATCAATGTTCTGCTTAATTTTCTGCCTAACCCCACATGCTATAACTGCTAGTACCGATGTATTAGAAAAACTTCATTGGGTATATTTCCATCCATCAATTCTATATATATTCTATATCTATAGACCATGGGCGTTTGTTACTTGTATGGCCGACAAGTAAGGATCCATCTATACAAGTAACGTCATGACCGAACCCACAACGCGGCGATTCGCTGCCGCGCAAATTAGATGTATGCGTGTGTGAAGGCGGTGCCAAAATCCGTCCACGTAAGGCCATTACGTGTATGCCTGTGACTCCACCCCTTTGCATGCGTACATACAAGTTGCCGATCCAGCTGCCAGTCAACCTCAAAATTTCAAACGCTCGTCTTTCGTTTGCTTCTCAACGGATCTTCCCAATCGACATATCAGAAGATGAAGAATTAAATTTCAAACTTTTTGGTATCTAACAAGTAGATATTTATGGCGAATCAAGAAAGTTATGACTGTTTTGGTTTCTCGTAGACTTAACATAAGATGCAAGCCAACACGGGCCCAAGCTATATATTACGAGTATACCTAATTCGAACATATTGTTCATCAGTGGCGAATCTAGGCGGGTTTCGGAGGGGGAGCCAGAGAACTCACACCAAAGGGGGGAGTATTCTCTCGATTTTTTGGCGACCTCTACCGTAAAAAAATTTGCAATGTACCCCCCTCTTGCGAATTTTTTTGACGGGTTACGGGGGGCCATGGCTGCTCAGGCACCCCCCTAGACGCGCCACTGTTGTTCATTACCGCTGCATCGTTCCATGAAAAGGCACAGTTGAAAGTCCTGTTCGATACTGCAAGCGTTCAAGAAATAATACTTCACAATGTTGGAGTGTTCGAGCGCACGAATTGTTTTGAATCTGTTCGAAACCTGTCACGACCTGGCGCATAGTTTATTAGCAGCCAGGGAGCTGCTCAAAGGCAGACTAAATATCGTAGCACATCCAACAGCCACAATCGCAACCACTGTTGCCATGCCACTACGTCGCTACGCCGTTACAACGCTATAACCAGGTGAGCACTGAAGTATATGATTCACGAAATTGCGCCGAATTTTAATTTCACCGCAAATTCTTGACCGTTGGATGTGTCTTCGGCTTTACACACATCAAAACCACTGTTTCCACGACCCAGCAATTCGGTAGTACACTTTTGTAGTCCATGGTGGCCAAAGGTTGTGAATGTTTCTTGCGGGCCGGCAGCCACAAGGCCTGAAAACAGAAACAGTATTTTCCCAGCGATCATGCGGGCGATACTCAACCGCTCGGGTAAGCCGCAAACAGCGACCAAGAGCAGCTTACCGCATTAGGACGCGCATGGCCATCGCGTGCACACATAACTTTCGTACCTTAAGATTGTATGCCAGATATGATGCACGATTAAGGGCAAGTCTCGACTTTTGTGCGAATCTAGCTATAGTGCGGTTGCTGAACCGCACGAGATGGCTGTATGCTGAGGCCCACGCAAAAGATTTGGTACGCTAAGCGTCTCGTGAGGTGGATCTCCTAAATCGTAGCTAGATCCGCTTCGAATCCGAGACCCACCCTAAGGAGGAACGGGCAGCATGAAAAGTGTAATGATAATAATCTGAACAAAACGCTAGCTAAGCCATTTAAAATTGTGTGCACTTGCAAGTGCCAGGAGGTCTCATTTGCGGTAGTCGTACTGGATTTCATATTATTGCATAATTTACTTTTATTCACTGTCAGTATTTTATTATTCACCATTTACTTTCATTCACATTTATTTTAGTTTATTCACTGACGGGAATACTTATTTTGGGTTTTGACTCATCCAGCTCAAAAGGTTACAAAACTGGCGTCGAAATATGATGATTCCTGACGTAGCTGCATGTTAGGCCGGGCTGCCGGGGGATAGATCTTAATATTATCATTGTATAGGCTGAGTTCGCATCGCGTAGGACCTCCGCAATGTTATTATCTTCTGTTGAGTTTCGTTGATTGTGCTTTGATTTCTAATAAACTTTTCATAGCGAGGAAGCCGATACGATCAAACCGCCGGAACGGGTTTCCACGTAAAGCGGTATGCATCTATACAGATTACTTGCAATCTTTCCGTACAATAATTCGCATTGTCTGAGTGAACAGGCAGCTAATTTGCCCCAGGGTTCGTAGACCCGTAAAATTTCTATGTTGTGACAATAGCACAGCAAAAATATCCTTTTATGTGGACCAACAATTCACATAAGGGAATGCTAACGTTAACATTCTCGCCCGGCACACATGCTATTGTGATAACCGTTAACATGTTAATAGTTTTCTCGGCTACACACGGTAAATTGGAATAGTCGGATCACCATGGCGTTTTTGAAAGTTTTGTCCAATATTTAACTTTATTTTTCTTAATTAAGCGCGCAAAAAGATGTGCAGTAGGACTTCCAAATTACCGGATTTATTTATGATTTCAAGTTTGAATTTTTTTATTCCGTTACCCGCACATGCACGTACAATGTACGAGAAAAATGTTTTTAACATCGGACGGTGAGCCGCTGTCGGCTTACGTTTATAAAACAAACGATGAACGAGTGCCTCCTATCCATTGCTATATCCGCTTACTGACTGGTAAGCATTTAAAGCGCGGCAACCGTTTTCTCTCGGTTCTTGGCAAAACCGTAAAACCGGTTCCGATGTTATGAAATTTTGTCGTCCAAGGATTTGTGGTGGAGCAGCAGTAATCAATGACTGAAAGAACTAAAGTGCAAAAGTAACAGACCACGTTTTCCTCAAAGAGCACTTCTTATTGGCAAAACAAACGGAACACTCTGTACATATTACGGTTCGTTTAGAAGTACAACAACAACGGTATTATTTAATTCGATTTAATTTTCAAAGAATTTGTTCGATCTGTATGTTCACCTGGACGTACTTCTGCTTATGTATGTAAGGCCTTGTCCCGAATTCGAAGCGAATCTCGTTATGGTACGGCTGTTCAACCGCACGAGGTGGCTGTATGCAGTGGCCACGCCTACAGATACGGTACGCGAAGCCACCTCGCGAGGCGGAGTTGCTGTATCGCAACGAGATTCGCTTTGAATTCGGGACGACGCCTAAGAAAACAACGTTAGTACATTACTGTACTCTGTACATCCTAGATATTACAGGCAAATAAAATGGGGATCTGTTTTTGGTAAATCAGAAGTTCATTCCTGGCTTAACCATTATAATGGCTGTCGAGAAGATGCGCGGCCAAATTACTGAGCATAGTGACATCCAGTTCCCGCAAGTCAACGTCCCATCGCTGTGGACTGTCATCCGGATAGAAACTGCTGAACCTAAATCAGTAAGCAATGCACCATTATTCAAGCAGCAGGGCCTAAAAACTTGTGCCCACGTAGCACAAAGTGTGCTCACGTAAAGGTGTATGTGCTCACCTAGATGAGGACTTGTGCTTAAAAATTGCCAATACTCCCCCCTTTGTTGTGATTTTCAAACTTTTTGATGCTATTAATTTTATTTCTTTTTATTAGAGAAACGTAGTGCTCCCCCATGTCTGACCAACTGCAAAGCAATATAACTTGACATAAAGTGAATATTTTAACATAGCTTAGATCAGCATGTAAACTGCTGCAACTGTAGCGGTGGCCAGTTAGCTGTTGTTTAAAGGGTTGGTTAATCCACCATTTCACGATCTGTCGGCTTTCAGATTGGGAAAGTTTGACACAAATAGACCGGCAGCGATGCTGGCCTCAAGCTTTACAAATTACCATGCCCACAGACGGTACAATCTAATTTCTATCGTCAAGTTGATTTGACTTGCAATGATTGCCCAGCTGCGAAGCTAACCTGCGGATTTTATCGAAGCGGACGCCTTAAAGCTGCAGCTAGCTGACTTCAAAATGGTAGCAGGCCGGAAAAGCATTATTTTAAACCATGCGAAATAATTACCCCAAGGAAAACAAAAGATGACCACACCATACACGACCTTTTACTCGGTTCACAACCTTTGACAGGTGTGCACCTTTCATTCTGTTCACTACCTTTCATTCCCTTTCGCATTTCACGTTCTTCCATTAGCAAAAACTAACGGGAATTTTGCAATATTTGATTTCTTACGCCACAATTTTGGAAAGTGTAAAGGAAAGTTCTGCCGCCCCTGCGTACTCGTTGCTCTCTGTCTGCTTATTTTGCTTGTACAACCAAAATAAAGGGGTTGCACATGCGGCTTGAGCGATCGGAGGTGGCCAACGCATTCGCGTTCACACCCCTTGCTTGCGCTTCCGGTCAGCAGCTTTCCATTATCCCCGCGCACTGCTACGTTTCACACAGGAGACGTACAGCATTAACGAAGTACAGGCTGTATTAAGTACTGTATTAATGCAATTTGGATTGAAGTAGTTATGAACAGCTGGGTTGACGTGAAATAATCAGTGGAAATAAGTCTGATTCGTCGTTGTCGTATAGACGGTTAAATGACTTAAATGATTTAAGCGCACCGCTTGAAGAGGTTGCAATGTGGACAAGGTAGTGCCAAATAGGAGTAGACGGAGTGAATGGTTGAGTAGGAAGTTGTGAAATGAGCGGTTGTAAAAGGTCGTGATCGGGGTCTTCACCAAAACAAAAGCAGGCAGCCAAAAAATGCATAGAAGATCTAAGCAAAAATGTTCAAGCTAGCATTCTGAGATGCACTTGCATTTCCTATTAGTAACTCGGACATGTTTATTTTTTTCATTTGCGATAACAGTGTTCCTACTTAATTACCGGGTTGACAGTTAACCCGACCATTTATTAAAAACCATATAGCCAACCAGTTTCCTAAATTTCGAAAAATATGGTGACGGCAGTTAGAGAGCATGGTAAAACAGACATTGTACGGAGAAATTACAATACTTCAACGCCAAGCAAAGCTTAAAAAACAACCACCAAGAAAAATAAAATTTAAATTAGCTATTTTTCTATGAATTTCTTGCAATTCTTGCAGGAACACAGTACGTTAACTTCGCGCTCCGCGCGAAAGTCCCCACCTAAATGGATCCTAAATGTTTATTTCGTTTTAGCGCTTCTTTAGGAAATATTGTCCATCGGCTCGCGCTCCGCGCGATACATGTACCTTTGCTGAATTTTGCTACAATTTCTCTGAGCGCTTCAATTTACCTTTATGGTGCAAAAATAAAAGATAGTCCATACCCTCCCCTTGGAAAAATTAAATGTGCTCACGTAAATTTTGAAGATTTTAGGCTCTGTCAAGCAGCAGGATAACCGAATATTCCTCTATGTGTAAATCGGTAAATCTTTGCTAGTCTGGACGGCCTTCTTCGATTATTTCCCTTTCCAAACTATTGTAATACTACACTGGAATTTTGTACTCCTCCCGAGCATTGTAAGGTTTGGTATATCCTGAGACCAACATATCGGCTTTGCCATTAAATTTTGATCATCGGGTTACTGGTAGTAGTCACTAGTACGGCAAGCGTGGAACGCATTAATTCAATTTGACTGTACTCACACATTAAGAAACACGCGAATATCGGCCCAATCGTCCGGATAGGCCAGCGTCCGCACCCAGCGCGCCAGCACGGCGGCAATTTTTTCCCGCACTCGTAAACTAACGGCCGGGCACTGGTCGTTGACTGCAGCTAGATAGCACCGGCCCTGCTCCGCAGCCGTGTCTGTTGATCGGATCCGTAGGCAAGGTAGAACCGCAAACCGACGGAATTTGTTGGATCTCCGTCGGAACCTGTCTTCCTGTTGCGGCCAGGTCGAGCGGTTTGCATGACGCGAAAACCATCCCATCAGGATGTTTGTACCGTAATACTGAGACGTATAATTTCGTAGGATGAGCTGTTCGCACACAAGTCCACTGTCGGACAGCATACTGTAATTGCTGGTATCATTCAAAGAGTTCAGGCAGGAATCCCGGAAGGTCCAGGCCTCGGGATGCGCGCTATAACGGCTGTTCTGTCCGATTATCGATGGGACGCGGATCCTCTTGAACTGCAAGATGCGCCGGATGGGCCACATGCTCACCATGGAAATATTCCGTTCACCGCTAACGAAGGCCAGGGTGCGTGTGAGTGGAGTAATAATGCGGTCAAGCATGGATATAAAATGGTACGTCAAATAAGCCCATTCGGTGGCACCTTTCCGATGTCCTGGCTTTGGTGCATCCTGGGAGCGCATGTCGAAAATGATATGCCGGTCGACGCCACAGTCCGCACAAAGAAGCTTCCAGAGTGCACACACCCTGGTATAAGGGAGAAACAAAGATTAGTTGTGGCTAAATGATCCATTTCCATTTCAAATGAGAACAGATTCTAAGTTGTCTCCTCTCATAGTCATGTATTTGTACTGAATTCTGAAATATCGGTGTAATGAGAACCTCGGCCTTGTAAGAATTGTACAATTAACTACGCAGACATGCTGAGTAGGGATGAATGTTATTTTACCACTGTATTCAACGCCTTCCAGCAAAAATTTTATTGGGAAAAAATAAGTATTGCATCGAATAGTTAATAAAACACTGTAAGTGTGTGTTATCCCACTATCAAGCTGAAATAGCTTAAATTCTGTTGTTGTTTTTGTGGAACTCAAAAAAAATAATACTATCGAAATTTACGAAAACTAAATCTCTACAATTCACTTTCCACCTGACAGTCGCAATCATTCCGCAAACCGTCATACAGCTAATTAATGAAACGCCGGCTCCGACGCCTAATCATCGATGCGTTTCCATACACAAGCTAAACACATAAATGATTAATGTGATTACTGATTATTCGTTTCAAAAAAGGGTTGCAGAAATGGAATTTCGAAGCCGAGAAAATAGAGTGCAATTTTGAATTTTCTTTGTAGCAGAGTGCTGACAGACTTACCCACTTATCCGCGGTTGAGTGATGATGTCCAAAAAACCCAAAATGCACGCCGTAATCGCATGAGGAAGGTCCCGGAAGATCGTTTCACTGAAATCTACGGAAACTATAAAATGTTCATTACCGGTCGTTACCTATCAAAATCGTGGTAACTGACGATGGATAAAAAAAACAAGAATGAGCTTGGTAAGATTTAAACCAACCGTGCTGGAAAGTGCCGTTAGTATGAGCCTCGGACATCATCCTGACGGTTGTGCGGGACTGGTGTTGGATGAGGTGGCTTTTACACGCTTCCCGCAGTCTTCTTTCCAGAACAAACTTCGCCCACCTGCGTCAGGGCGCCCTTCGGCGGTAATAAAAGTCACTTTGTCAGTTCCCACTCGAACAAATACGCGGCAACCCGTTGCCGCCGTTCTATTAGGTAATGGCTCCCGACCGGCTACCGCTATTTGGCACGAGTCAACCAAGCCGTCTGCTTGAAATCCCACATGGCGCAAAAGATGGGCATCCGTGAAAGGGATGACCTATTTGCGGTAGAAGAATGCGCGGAGGCCCTCGAAGAAACTGGGATTGGTGGGATGGGCGGGCAGTCGCTCGACACAGTGGTTCTGCTGCACGATGCAGACACCAGCCCGGGTACCATGCGGAACTTCATGAAGCTGTACAGCCACCATAGCGCCCCACACTCCCCAGCAGCGTACCCACCCGAAACACTTGCGGTCCAGCGTGCTCGTCGCGCAGCGCCACCTGCACCTCCACGTCGGCTTTTGGCAGCCTCTCTGGACGGAGGAAATAGTCCGGCCACAAGCGGCTAGCATGGATCCAGTGGGCGTTGATCGTGCTGGCATCGAAATCTACGAGGAAGCTGTCACCTTCAATATCTTGAACATATCCCAACCACCACTGGAGGTTGTCACTCTGCACCAGCACGGTGTTGCCGTAGTTCGTCTCGCGCATACCGGAATACAGCTCGCAAAAGTACCGTGAAGTAGCGTTCATGGTACACTAATCCGAAGTGATAAAATCACATTAAAGAAGTGATAAATACCTGCCACTCAAAGTGCTCGTAGTAAGTAGCGCGTCGGCTTTAGTAGTGATATCGTGATGCTAAATACGCTCGAAACTTAAATATTAAATGAGCACCGGCATGGAGCATCGACCTTTTGCACGTCTTACCCGGATCAGTTTCGACTGATGGATGTACAGTACTTTACGGATTCCGAGAAAACGGCAGCAGCTTGAGCCGGTTGTGCTGGGTTATTTGTTCTATTTCTACCTGTGCTTTTATTCGCCGCATGACTCTTAGTAAAAAGATTAAAACAGATATGTTATGTTTTAGTTTTCATGCCTCGTTTTATGCTGTTACAGTAACTAACCTCATTGATTAGCCGCCTGCGTTCCACGTTGAACAGCTTAGCCCGACAGAGACAAAACGGTGTCCGGTTACTCTCAAAATGTTAGAGCACTCGGTTGTTTTATTCCAGCTCGTGGTTTATGGGGTCTGCGTGCAGAGTTTTGGATTTACAGAAGCTCAAATGTACCATTGACTGCATAATACGTTAAATCTTGTATCTGCTGTTTTGTCTGGCTGTTACGTTTGACCATCGGGCGAAAATGTTAGCTCCAGACCAAAATAATTGTTTGCCGTTTTTCGCGTTCGTATTAATTTCTTCTTGCCGGTAAATTTACAACAGTTACTCTGGAATATTTAGACCTTCCCCAGTTCTCATTATCAAGATGTCCGCAACATTACGCTGCTTTCGTCGGATGCACACGGCTACGCGTAAACTAAACTATCGGAACTCAGTGCTGGTGCGGCGAGACACCGGGCATTGGTGGCTGGGATACGTTCAGGAACTTCTTCTACGTTGACTTTGATGTCCGCAAAATCAACGCTGAATGGATCCACTCTGACCATCTTTGGCCACACCATTTCGCCGGAGTTTGGCATTTAGGAGCGCAGCCGGGTTCTTCCGTCCAGGTGGCACTGCAGAAGGAAGCCGGTGGACCGTTTATTTTCCAGCCAGCCACTGTGATTGAAAATCTGTTCTGCGCGTTTTGCGTTGTTACCCTGGACCAGCCCAATCAAAACGCCACAGCGGAGCGCCGCGTCGTGCCTGAGTTCCACCTAACTGCAGAGCTGCCGAAATTAAATTTGGAGCACAAGCTTTTCAGTAGAGCTAGCGGAATCGTCTACACAAAGCATGTCGTGCCGTTTGACAAGGCGCATCTGCTACGTCATGTGAATTTTATGCACAAGTTTCTGGTTCACACTTGCCATATTTTGCCGGGCCCTGGGGATCCTTGCAACCCCGAATGCGGGCTGCAAGGGCACGATTTCATTCATAAATTCAGTTTACACTGTCAAGGATTGCATGGTCGGACGGGCAACGATGGGAGGTATTTGTTTGATATCGGTTGTCGCGTATTTGTGCGAGCAGGCATCGACACGGTCACTTTCGTTTGTGCCGAAGTGCACGGTGATGCTGCAGGGCGCAGCATGTTTTGGAATGCAGATGCGCTACGGGAAGCGTGCCACCGCTACTTCACCGAACAAATGTCGAAGCAGTTCGAAAATGTGTTCAAAATTGTGGCCGAGGACTTGCCGACGGTCCCTTTCCGACACGGTAAGTGCACCAGTGCAGCAATTTGGTAAAACAAAGAAAAACCGGATCTGGACAATCAATCTACGTAAAATTAACCAAAAATTACAGCGGTATAGAGAGATAAAAAATGTCTCTGGCCTCCCTCCCTTTACTGCTGCTATCACCCGGATGGAGGCGGACGAGGTGGTTGAAAACGGCGCTTATATACTGTACCGAATTTAAACAATGTTTATCCATAACGCCTCACTCCAGCCGAGTGACGGCAGCAGTACAGGGACGAAGTTCAAGACATGGATTACCCTTCTGTAAAGGTACAAGTGTTGACGAAGCTATCGTTAACTAGATATTCTGCAGAAACGGACGAACTGCGCATCTATGAAGTTTCGGCTGAGGTCCTAGCCATTGTCTTTCTTGATATGGATATCATTTCTCAGCTACGGATGAGCCAGTTAGTTAGTGCATTACGACTTTAAGTGTATTACAGATATCCATTCATACGCATAGCGCTGTCAGTTGTAGTTGTAGCTTCTTCATGAAGTCCACTGTATGTATGTATGTTTTCGTTTCCAGGGTGTGCGCTTTGTGGAGGCTGATTTCGCGCAACTACGTCCACAATCGCCACATTACTTTTGTTATCCGTGCACTGCACCTAACGGAACACTCCTGGAATGGTTCGCTTTATTTCACATCGGGCTCAGTTACTACCTATAAACTCACCACGATGCTGGAACGAGTCGTTTCCAAACAGACACGCTCGTTGGTGTTGGTCGACGAGAGAACGCCGGTCGAGAGCAGGTCTGACACATGCGCGATGGATTTCAGGAGGAAAATGGGGACGATCCGCGGTGTCTTGGAGAGCAAGGGTATTCGCCTGCCGCTGTTGATTGTCAAGAATGGTTACGAAAGCCCGAGGCCGTGGTACAGCTCATTCTTCTGGCTGAGATTAAACGAGGATAGTGAGCAGTTTGAATGCAGTTATTTGCCACGCTGGATGTCCGTGTGTGAGAAGCTCGTACTGCTCAACTATACCACCTGCGATGACACTGGCACCAATTCAAAACTGCTGGTGCTATTCTACGAATGCGGTCTGACTTGGCCGGACGGTGAGAATGCGTTTATGAGGGATGACGACGAAGGACAGCTGGATATAGTAATTCCGTTCGTGCGCTTCCGCGGAACCGAGACGGCCGCTGAACATTGCCGACGTTTTATTGCCGCGGTCAGCAGCAGTTGTCCGGCCGTTACGGAGGAGATAAAGGAAAAGATCACAGCGGTGCATGCGCGCTGGTTGCAGACGTTGGCTTATCCTGAGCAGTGGGCGGGGATCCGCGGCTTCTTCCAGATGTGAGTAAAGATACTATTTGATATGGTGCGGTTTGAATGCGGGTGTTCTTCGTTGATTAGGTACAACGGCTTTCGTCACGACGGCAGTCGGCAGCGCTGGGATCAAGTCGACTTGCGACAGCTGGATATGTCACTGCTGAACCACTTAACCTTTGCTGCGCTCGATTTTTATTACAAAGACTAAAGCATACATACCTGCTGCGCAATATATGTTAATAATTGTTGTGAAAATAATGCAGGTGGGCTTGACAGCGTTACTAAACGAGAAATACGTACTGGCTGTTGCCATCTGTGGATGTGCATATGTAAACCGCCAAATTTTATTCCAAAACTTTTGAAGTTTTTTGTCGAAAAATCTGTCCTTGCTTTCGACAGCAAATCATGGCATCTTTTTTTTAGAAAATCTATTACTATTTTTCTCCACAATAAATTGAAATACGGCTTACTCGGTTTAGATTGCATAGGAAAGAAGCGCAAGCGGCAACCATCAGCTTTTAAGGTCGCACTCAATCAGTAACATCGCGGGGCCGGTCGAAAAATACTAGTATAGAAGGTCGTAATCGCCCTTAGTGCAAGCGAGCGAGCGTGTAAGTTTTTCTTGTTGTGAAAGACTTACCGTTGGGTTACTTGGGTAAGTCTGCAACAGAACTAAGTAGTTTAGAGTTTACCCAGCTTTTTATAGCTGTTGCATATGCTGCGGAAGGGTTATCAACAGAGCTGCTCCGATAGCAGTTTGTGGCACAATCGGATGGACCACGCAAGTAACTGCCGCGCGGGCACCGTTAATGCCATACCGCACACGGCCGCCCTTTCCGCTGGTTTTCCGCCACACCAGGTTCTTTATTTGGGGACACTGAACTTTGCCCTCAATTTTGCAGTCCTACTGCCGACAAGACTTTCACATAGATCCCCGAAAGAGTCAATTTAGTAGCTACGTTCAGCTCCTACGTTTATAGTGGATCAAAAGTGTTAGAGGCTGTTAAACCCCGGCCATCGCAACCTCGGCCATCGTACGTCAGGTTCAGTCGTTCGCACAGAACGATCGAACCCATCACTTGCAAAGGAAAAAATGAAACATCGTTTACTGGAGAAATTTTCCAACGCAACCGCAATTTAGAGCGGAATATGAAAATTAAATAAATCCGTGCTAACAAAGGTTCAGTGCATCAATCAGACGGTTGTACTGACCACGTCACAGCAGTTCTGGCGCCTTTGATTCGCCATACACTCTGCACCTGAATCGTTTGCATACTGCAGATCAACGATTTTTTGAAAACTAATTCCCAGTGCGCTAGGGTTCATTAAACCGCTTTTAGTGGGCGATTATAAACATGAAATATTAGTTTTGATGCTGGTGGACCGGTGGTCCATAGCAAAGCAAAATATATGTTCCAAGGAGAATCTTTAAATTTTGCCAGGTGGCGGTGAGCCAAAACTCGAAGTCTATGCTTACCAGGGAATTACTGACCCGTTCATTTTCATCGACGGAAAAGCCGATTTCATCGGTTTGATAAGACTAAGTTCTTGATATTCCGGAAATTTCTCGCCATCTTGGTTCTATACCAAATAAACAATTCTCTGCCGGTAGTTAAGAACCCAAAAATTATTTCGTTGTCTTAATTTCATTTAAATGTTAGAAACACGAAAGTTTTATTTATAGCTATTAAAATACCAGCTTTTTTTAAATTCACCATAGGTTTTTTTTCGCTGCGGATGAATTGGCACACTGATTTACACAGGATGCGTATGCCGATAGAACTACAATTGGTCTCAGATGCACCGGCGTAGATTTCCGGGTCCAGTATTACTCGTGCTGTGTGATTAGGCTTAAGTTGTTGCGAAAACGGTTTATCGTTTCCATACCGCATTTGAAGCTTGATGATAGTGGGAACTGTGATAATGATAATGGTGGTAACAGTTGTTAACCGAGAGACTTTTTTGAGTGAGAGGTACCATGTTTTGCAATAGTAATTCTTTGATGAATCGTTATTCGTGGTAAATCAGTTGTTAGCGTAGTTTTGAAACGAACACGGTAAACCAAAATGCATTGGGGAAATGTTTATGGATGGTTTAATTCAATTTTTTTATTCACAAAAAAAATGGTCATGTGGCTTAATTTTACCAGGTCACGTGACCGTTACCTGCATATACTATGGCTGGTAATCTACGGTCACCTTGGTTTTGGTGTATTAACTCAACTTTGCTGGGCAATGTGTTTTAGTGCATGGGTGTTGATTTGACTAAGCTCTTCAAAATCCTTACTGTAGAGTAAATTCCAAGAATCTCGTGATTTTCTTTAAAATATGACAACAACACTTTCCTCAAAAGTCCAGAAATTTGAGAATTTTGTTGAAAGTAGTTTCAAAAGTGGGGGCTTTTACCACTTTGTGTGCCTACATTCGGGAAATATTGCCACTACATGCAAGGCTCGTGAGAGCAAAGCTCTGTTAATAACTTTATCTGGACACCATTGTCTTAAAGCAAACTGAAGGCACGGATTCTCATTAGTTTTTCTTTACAAGCAAACAAAAGCTGTTTAGCCTGAGGTATAGTTTATTATCATTTTTTTAATTAAATTTATACAAACCTTTATAAATGAGCTTATTTGGAAATTTAATTGAAATTTTACTTGAAATTTCAAATTTGTTTGAAAATTATTGTTATCATTTTTATTGATTGTTATCATATTTTATTATTTATTGTAATCAATTTTGTTATCATTTTTTTAATTAAATTTATACAAACCCTTATAAATGAGCTTATTTTGAAATTTAATTGAAATTTGACTTGAAATTTCAAATTTGTTTGAAATTTATGTTGCAGCACAAAAGGATAAATTTGAATCAAACACAATAAAATCGCTCTTTATTTACAAAGTTTTAATCTGTACTTTTCTGTACCTAATCCCTGGATTTTGTCATATTATTGAAGTAAACGTTAAAAGTCAACAATAGAAGATAAAAGACGTTTTATTCAACTAGCCGCTGCGCTTGCTCACGCCGCAGCTCGGCGTCGCCTTCGGCTCCGCCTTCGGTTTCCGTAGAAATGATTATTCGCTCCTGCATCATCTTGGTAGCGTAAAATTTAAGGAGAACCGTAAAAAGAATATTTTCAGAGTCAGAATAAAAATACAATCGTATCCTTTTGTTTCGCTTGCTGCTCCGTTTGTTGCGCTCTTTCGAGTCGCATTTCGCCGTTGGCTTATGCTGCTGCTATGCTGCGCTTTGAGTTCAACCGTAACAGTGACATGACACCGTAACGGCAACTTATTTTAAAGTAGCTCTTACCGAAGCCGTTACGGTAACAAAGGCTAACACGGCATCGGTAACCTGTTACGGTCTTGGTAGCGTCACTCATTACTGGAAACGCGTGGTTAGAGTGATAAGGCTGGTAAGGGTAAGCGCAACCATGAGCTCTCATATTATAAATCATGCAGGCGGTAATACAAGTAACAGTGTAAGCGCCACAAACGGTCAAAAGCGATTTCCTGACTTTAGAACCCGCGTAGCATGTTTCGTTACGACAATGTTTGAAAACAAATTTGCAATTCGCTTTCAGCTACGTGAAAGCGAATTTTGTAAATTCACCTAAACTTTCTGTGAGTACTGGAGCTTGTATTTCTGATTATTAGTTAATTTGATTTTGGAAATTGTACTTTAGTTTTACTAACAAAAATTAAAGAAAACGAATGTTCTATAAAAAAAGAACAGCAAAATGCTTCTGCTTTACTTGCTGCACGAAGCTGGTAATGCTGCAGCGCGACGTCACTTACAGCTCTTTCAGTAGAAACAACTGTTCATGATGGAAACTCGTAATACGAACGGTAACACTGACGCTCACCCGTCGCAGTAACGGATGCTCTGGCGGTGACATTATCAAGGACAGTAACCCGATACGGTAACGGTAACAGTATACCGTCATTATCACCAGTTACAAAATTGGATGCGGATGCGGTTACCCGTTACACTAACGACTTACCATTAGAGCTAATCGGTAATGGTAACTCGTTGCGTAGAAAAGTTGCCTTAATGGTAACTGTAATCCACGGCAACGGTACCAGGTCGCGGGTACGGTAAGAGTGGTGACTGAGTCGTTACAGTAAAAGCGGTGAGAGATGTTTCAGGGTATCGCAACATGGTACAGTACTTTGATAGTCGTTACGACTTGTTACGGTATGCCTCGCAACGGCAACAAAAAAACATTAAGTACACACCACCTGCACCAAGCAAAATTCCCGGACAGGATCCAAAAACAGACCCTTTATACTGTTTGAATGGCAAGTTCGTGAAAAATGTCCCGGTGGTCCCCCGCATGTCGGTTCCCCAAAAACGCACCAACCGGGGTGGCAAAATCTCCGGACCGGGTTCTTAAAAACGGGCCCTCCATACTATATGTATGGCGGGTTCGTGAAAAATGCCCCGGTGGTTCCCCGCATGTCAGTTCCCCAAAAACGCACCAACCGGGGCGGGCAAAATTTCCGGACCGGGTCTAAAAAAACGGGCCCTCCATACTATATGTATGGCGGGTTCGTAAAAATTGCCCCGGTGGTTCCCCGCATGTCGGTTCCTCAAAAACGATCCACCCGGGGCGGGCAAAAATCCCGGACCGGGTCCAAAAAAACGGGCCCTCCATACTATATGTATGGCGGGTTCGTAAAAAATGCCCCGGTGGTTCCCCGCATGTCGTTTCCTCAAAAACGATCCACCCGGGGCGGGCAAAACTCCCGGACCGGGTCCAAAAAAACGGGCCCTCCATACTATATGTAAGGCGGGTTCGTGAAAAATGCCTCGATGGTTTCCCGCATGTCAGTTCCCCAAAAACTCACCAACCGGGGCGGTCAAAATTTCTGGACCGGGTCCAAAAAAACGGGCCCTCCATACTATATGTATGGCGGGTTCGTGAAAAATGCCCCGGTGGTTCCCCGCATGTCGGTTCCCCAAAAACGCACCAACCGGGGCGGGCAAAAATTCCGGACCGGGTCCAACAAAACAGGCCCTCCATACTATATGTATGGCGGGTTCGTGAAAAATGCCCCGGTGGTTCCCCGCATGTCGGTTCCCCAAAAACGCACCAACCGGGGCGGGCAAAACTTCCGGACCGGGTCCAAAAAAACGGGCCCTCCATACTATATGTATGGCGGGTTCTTGAAAAACGCCCCGGTGGTTCCACGCATGTCGGTTCACCAAAATCGATCCAACAGGGCCGGTCTCTATGAGTGTACCGGGTCAAAATTTACGAGCTCCTATTCATTTACTGCAGCAGGTCCGTGAAAAATAACCCGGTTGGTTTTTCGATTTTTTTACTACCTTCTCAATTGCTTCAGCGGGGGGCTGCGCCGCCCGCACCCCCTGCTTATTGGGGCTCCGCCCCA